TGTGTGTGTGTGTGTGTGTGTGTGTGTGTGTGTGTGTGTGTGTGTGTGTGTGCTCTTACACTGTCCACGAAGTTGGCCAGATGAACCATCTCGTCCCTCACCGCCGTCTCGTTCCGGTTCATGTAGTTGAACTGCCAACAGATGTGAAACAACATCTGAGCTGCTGTCGTGTGTTTAGCTTAGCTTAGCACAAACACTGGAGGCGGAGGGAAAGTGCTAGCATGTGTGTGTGCGTCTCACCCTGTCGTTGTCGACCACCAGCAGCAGCTCCACGTAGTGAGTCTGGTGGAGAACAGCTCGCTTTATCTGCAACACAAGCGTCAGTTAAACACACGCAGCTACACAGGACACACAAACACTGTGTGGTCATTGTGTGTCTGTTGGTAGCTGATCTGTGCCTCTTTATAACTTTGCAGTCATTTTGTGTGTCTCTGTGATGGTTTTGTGTCTCTTTGTGTTAGTTTCTTGGCTGTCGGGCATCTCTTTGTGGTTGTTTTATGTCTTTTTGTGTCTATATGGTGGTCTTGTGTGTCTCTCTGGTCATTCCATGTCTCTTTGTGGTTATTTTGTGTCTCTTTGTTGTCGTTTTGCATCTCTGTAGATCATGTGTGTGTGTGTGTGTGTGTGTGTGTCTGTTTGCACACACCCTGCTGTGCTGTCTGTGGTGGATCTCCTCCGGTCCGTTCTGAGCGCGCTCCGTGGCGTTGCTGTGGTCGTGCGGCGTTCCACACCCTCGGGGCTGTGATGTCACATCCTGTAGGCGGTACACCAGGTGCTGGTCGGGGGCGGAGTCTGACGGCTCGATCCCGTAGCTGTCGTCGGCCAGATGTATGACTCCTCTGAGAAGACAGAAAGCGACAGGCGTCAGCACGGGGACACGCAACACGCTGCCTCCTGGTTGGGTTGTGTCTCTGTGATGTTGTGTGTCTCTATGTGGTGGTTTTGTGTCTATGTGGTGGTTTTGTGTGTCTCTATGTGGTGGTTGTGTGTCTCTATGTGGTGGTTTTGTGTGTCTCTATGTGGTGGTTTTGTGTCTCTCTGTGATGTTGTTGTGTCTCTATGTGTTGGTTTTGTGTCTCTATGTGATGTTGTTGTGTGTCCTTGTGTCTCTATGTGGTGGTTTTGTGTCTCTATGTGGTGGTTTTGTGTGTCTCTGTGATGAACTGAACTCTGAACATCCTGCTGGTTCACTGATGACACACTACATTCTCCCACTAGTTTGTGTGAACTGTCCCTTTAAAGTGCCTCCAATCCTCCAGCAGCGTTTCTCGGAGATTAAAAAGCTGTTGCTGAAGCCGGTGTGCGTCGAGCAGACTAATTACTGAGGACTCACACTGACGCAGCAGCAGCTTCCTGTTGATGTTGCTCACAGATGGTGGGAGTGTGTGTCCTTCAGCTCACTTTGTTGTGTTGCTGTTGGTCCATCAGGAGAAGAAACGTTTCATTCACTCTCGTTCTTCTGCTGCTGCTGCTGATGGATTGTCTTCTGATGATAAACGATTTGTTTGGTGTGTTTCCTGAAGCAGCGCTCGGCTGACCGGCTGCATTCTGCCTTCACACCACACCTGTGTTTTCAGCTGCACGGCGGTTTTATTGGACTTCACTTGTCCGGCTTCGTTTGATCTTTGTTTTAAGATCCAAAAACGAGACTTCCAGGTTAAATAAATAAAAACAACAGCATACTTTACTCTCCTGTTCCCTACCTTTAGTCTTTTAAAATCTTATTTATGGTGTTTTCTGGATCTTCATGTATGTTTTTGGAGGTTTAATCAGTTAATCTTTACATATTTCCCCTCAGACTGGATCCTGTCTACAGGTAGTTCTGGTAGGTTCTGGAGGTAAACGGTCCTTCCATCATCTAGAACCAGCCACCATCACACATCCCATAACACTGACGCTGGTGGATGGAAGTCATTCTGGACATGATTTATACTATATTTGGACATTTTTTAGGTCATTTCGCTGAATGTTTAACTCATTGATGGCAGCTTTTGAATAGTTTTGTGGAAGTTATTGTTCATTTTGACCCATTTCTGACTAAATTTGGGACAATTTTCT